AAATCTCGGCTATTTCTTCTGTAACAAAAGATTCTAAGCACATTTATATTTTTTTATTTTGACACACAAGCTAATTTTATTTTACTGTTAGTCTTCTATGCACGAGAGTAAGTTTGAGATGATTCAACTTTTCTTTGAAATGTTCCAAAGACATAACAATGATAAAACCGCACCGATATCATCGACAAACTATATCGTTTTGGATATATCGTTTCTCGTTCTAACTTCCTGGCGGTAGTTTTACGCGTTGCCTACGAAAGCACGTGGCGAAGGGAAACGAGGGGATTAGCCCATTCGCTTCTCCTACGCAAGCTCGGTCCGCGGAGTGCGCGTCTCTTCTGATCCATCTCGGCGTACTCAGTCGGTGTTTGGCAACGCGTCTCACATCTGCTGGTCTGATCTTTTGCAATTGAAACACGCGATACGTGCGAATCACTACTTCCTAGAAACCCGGCGCGTTTAATTGTGCAATTTTTAATTATTATTATGTTCGATAATAAACATAACTTGCGTCCGATGAGACAAACTGCAACGATTAATAGACAAATTTAAGATAGAAAGTTTTTTATGTAAAATTTTTGCACGCGTTTGCGAGACAGAAAAACGTGCAAAGTTATCCCGAAGAACCATCTAATAATGTGATCTGTGAAATTGTGCGAGATAAATGTGTCGCGAAGAAATCATTTTTTTAACGTGCTTAAAAAGCATAAAAAAAGAAAATCTTTAATTCAACACGCGTCGCGTGTCTCTGCTACGCGGATTCTTTTTATGCAAAGCGGGAAGTAACTGCGTTTCAGAATTCGTTCTGTTTTAAAATTCGCTCTTTATTTTAATTCAAAGAAGAGAAACAGCATAATTTCGGAAGCCGAAAAAAATCGTCTTTCCAACAAAACAAAAAGAAAAGAAAGGACTTTCTACTGCGCGCAGCATGGCACGTTTTCTCGAACGAACACGGTATTAAATGCGAAATATACGTACGCGCACGTAAGTCGTCCGAAACGCTGCAAAGTTACGGGTCGTTTGCCGTATCTCGAAATTTATACAATTGCTGAATTAGCAAGATCAGCCGTGTGCTAAAAAGCACGACACGCTCTGACATCTTCTTTCTCGCTTTTCTTTCCTACATCCTTTCTTTCTTCCTTCCTTTCTTCCTTCCTTGTTTCATCCTCGCGATTACATTCAGATCTATATCTTTTGCTCTTTGCAATCTCGTGCTTTTCTTTATATAGTGTTTGCCCAGCTTTTATTCTTAGCATAATGCGCTTGTGTTACACGTATATAATCATCGAACACGCTGTAAACGTCACTGCAACGTTCAAATATACGACCAGAAATGTGCATTGTCTCACAGATCTTAATCCTTTGTGATTCTAATTTTATCGTTTTTTATCACTGGATTTTATTTCTTTTTTTTTTTTTTTTTTATTGAGATCAAGTGTCGTAAACTGCAATATAATATCTAGCAACGTTAAAGTCAAAGTAACGTAATGAAAAAGATCGGTAACGGCGACTGGTAAATCTCATGTGTTATGGCGAATAAGAAATATTCGAAAAAAAACTTTCAAAGAGAGCAACTATCTTAAATCGCGGAATGAAGGCTCGAGAGTGCAATGAAAGAACTGTCATCCAAAGTCCCGCTTACGAGGACAGCGGAGTCGCGATTTCCGGCGAACTTGGCGAGCCTTCTTTTTCCGGGGAATGTGAAGGAATAGTGTCCTTTCAAGCGCCAAAGGATATCGAAGAAGATGTAAATCCTAGGTTTGGATACATAAAAATTATCCTAATCTGTCCAGCAATTGGGAAATTTTCTCTACAAAATAAAACAAAACGCTTTATATCACAGCCAAACCTTCGCTAAATCTAGTAAATTATACGTTCATGTTCAAATAATTATGTTTATAAAGTCTCATTACTGCTTGTCATATTTTTAACGACAAATGCGCAATGAACATCGGTCAAAAGTGATCCTTGAATCTTATGCACATCAGGTATGTCGCGCGTTACACTATAAAGCAACATTATTATCCCGAAAATGGTTGGGGTTGGGTCATCGTCGTGACGGGTGTCATGGTGCAAGTTCTCGCCACAGGAATTCATGGGGCTGTTGGGGCCTGGTTACTGCTCGATGGGACAAAAAGATATCGTCAAACTTTTCTCAACGTAGGTATGTGGAATAAGCGTAAAAAACAAACACGTAAAGTTTTTTTATAACTTCATACTCACGCAGAATAAAAGATAGGCGTTTATTTTACTGATATATTTCTTGATGTAAAAAAAAAAGAAAAAAAACTTTTGTTCATAATTTAAGAAAATTTGGCAAAAAGATTTTAAGAACATGGTCGACCGAGTAGAACGTCGACAAACTCGCAAGTCGTTGACCCTGATAGCGACTCGCTCTCGCTCTCGCCAATTCACTCTCGCTGTTTCTTCACCCATCTTCATAGACAGATAGGAATCATCTCGAAGGGTGAAAGAGATATTTGCTGGTCTTGCAATATTTCCGATAAAGAATTGTTATTCGTTCTGATTAAAAATATTGAAAACAAACACAAAAAACAAAACTGGCGAAACATGGATTATGCAAAAAATTGATTATTAATCATTATAGATATAAATGCCGCGAATATCTACATTCATAGATACGTACAGACATAGATGCGATTATTGAAAGGAACGGGTCACAATTGATGAATATTTTGCGATAACTCTGTAGTATATAACTCTTTTATAAATTTTTGTTTTTTTTTTTTTCCGTCAATGTTGTAAACGATAACATCAAAAACAGTATCAGGTTGCTCTTGAAATCCTGATGAAGTGAGTTGAAATGTTCACGAAACGTCGGTTTCACAAAAATGTTGTGAACCACTAACGCGGTTCAAAACAAATTCGAAAAACACATCTTCGAATGTTAATATCAGAAACAGTCTGTTATACGGCGAATCCGTGCGTCTTCTGTTGTGTGTGTAAAAAGATGGGTGAGATATATATATATGTCACACGTCTGTGTTGCAACAGACGGTTGCCGTCTTTTCAAAATTCCGAGCGGAAAAGAAGAAGATTAAAGAAGATTGTACGAATAATAGACAGATCCTAAGCGATTCTGTCCTGTGAATAAATCGTCGGATGTTGCAAGCGACATTTAACGAACGTTCTTTCGCTTGTTTGCAATAGTGAGATTACTAACCGTGTTTTTGCCTAATGTACAAAAAATACGGCGTGACGTTCGTTTGTCTCCATAAAGTACTTGGAATCGTTATTTTGTAGCGTAATAAAGCGCACTCGGCACGATCAATAAGCTCGCTTATCGATGCAAGCGGCGAGAATTAATTAAAACTACTCGGCTTTTCGCGAGAGTAACATAATCGCGTTCGATTTATTTAATAATCCCGTATCATGATTAATGCAGTCACTTAAGCGCAATCGAGTGCTCGTTAGGTGTCTACCGACGACTGTATTAATTGACGTTCTTAGCAAGAACGATGGCGTGCTCCGACCCGCGATAGAGAACGTACAAGAAAGATCGTGATTCTGCGCTATAGATAAACACATCTATATAATTTTACTCACAAGTCAGATATGATTTATCAAAATGAATTTTCGCGACTGCAATAGACGCATTAGAAACACACATCAAATAAGGCAAATAATACAACACAAATAAGGCGCGAAAGATTGAAGAGCATAAAAGCACCAAAGCGCGAATATTCGTTACTAATCTTTATGTGTTTCTCGAGGATTCTTTGAATATACTGCACTATCATAAATCATTTAAGAAACGATGGATGACGTTAATCTCATTGGTTCAGAGTGGTCGAATATCTGGGGTACATATTGTACTTGTGTGTGTGTGTGTGTGTATGTGTGCCATATATATATATATATAGTACATATTTTGTCGATTGCGCAAGGAAATATATAAAGCAGTTAGATATTTAATCCATTTGCACAGGCTGAAAATGTGATATACACAAACGTTGTGGTCCACTACTCACGATATGACAGAAACGATATCACGAAGAAGTAAATGGAATTAAAGAAAGAAAACAATATCATCTCACATGAAAGACACTATACTCTATAAGGCACGTACAAAAACTTGGCACGTTCAAAATTTAGAAAGATTGAATTTTAAGTGCAATCCGAAATATATCCTCGCCGAATAAATCTTCCGTATTATTTTCAAGCGCTAATGATTAACGGAGTGTCTAAAGCGAACGGATCGATATGGAAAACAAACATTCTTCGTGGTCGCCACTTGCGGTTTATTTTCCGATCGGACAAAGTATCCGCGTTTTAGAGAAGATTTATCGAATTCTATATTGCCACGTGATATACAGTTTAAAACAACATTTTTACTACCGACGTGTCGCTTGAAGATTCGCACCGATGATGATGCACCGTCGCGAATCACGATTCCGTTTTCTCCGTTCGCAAGAACATCAGACTTTAAATGAATAAAAATGAAACACAGTGTTAGCGATCCGTAAAGAAAGACAATAAGTCAGACGAAATGAAAAACGGACACCAGTCGGTGCTATCCTGTTATCTATGACACGTAACGAAGATCGAAACCTCTCTGGAATTGCCGCGCATGATTTGACGTTTATATTGCGAGGCAGATTGCAAGCGATAGCCGCGAGAGTCGTATCTCCTTTGGAGCCGTTGATCAACGACACGCCGCCGCTGGCGCGTTCCCCTGCAAAAAGTTAATAACAACTCCATGAGAGAAGACTTCACCGCCGTAGACAATTTTTTTCGTTGCGAAACTAATGCATCGTGAACGGATGCATAAATGTTACGTATTTGCTATAACGATAAGAATCTGCAACGTTGCATTACTAGGCATTATTATATTTTCAACACGATCGAACGGGAGTGTATAATTATAGTTGAAACTTTGATTTTATCTCGTTGCGCCATCACATCTCGTGTTTAGAGATTAAATAAAGTTTGCGCGTTATATATTAATCTTTCTGCACGACTTGTTTTTTTTGTTACAGGATGGCTGGGAGCAATGTCGACGGGAGTCGCTTTGCTGGTGTCGCCAGTGACGATAGCATTTTGTCGAAGAAAAAGTACAAGAGTCACGGCAGTTTTGGGCGGTCTTGTTACCGCGCTCGGTTGCCTCTTTACTTCCTTCGCTTCGCAGTTTCACCAATTGTTTCTCAGCTATGGCACTATGGTCGGTAAGTAAAAATCGTCGTTGCAAAAGGTCTCCGGAGAACTGTAACTTGCGATGGCGTAGCGTCGCAGACGTTATCTTTATACAACGCATAGATGAACCTTCGCTGTATAGACATACGTGATCAATATGTAGATGAAAGTTTTCAAGCAAAGTTTCAAGGTTTTAGTTTAAACTTTTTTTTATCTTTCCGTTATTTTATTTCGGAAAAACTACGTATCGCAGTTGTACAATGCCAGATTATCGTTATTATTATTATTATAGCTATGCGCGTCATTTTTTTTTTTTTTTTTTTGTTTCCGTCTATCAGTTCCATTTTTATTTTCTCTCTGATCTTCCTTTTGCGCGAAACTTCGCGAGAGTCGAATTCCGGCAACAATTTTGAAAATGCAAAGTAGTCAGCAAAAGAGACATTAAATTATTATTGTTGATTTTCCGCGAGCAAATTAGAAGAACGACCGCAACAATTCGAGCAATTGATTTTCTTTACGTATACAGGAATCGGCGTTGGGATGACGCGGGATTGCAGCACGTTGATGGTGGCGCAGTATTTTAAGAGAAAAAGAGAACTAGTCGAAATTTTCATTGTGTCCGGTAGCGGATTGGGTATAGCTGTCATGTCCGCTTTCATAAAAGGCGCAATTACGTAAGTTAAATCGTGAATGAATCAAGAATAAATTTGCTCCCAATTTGCACGCATCAAATAAGTTGAGACGCGACTAAAGAATTTTCTTGATTACAGTAAAATTGGATGGCGACTCGGTCTCCAGGCTGTTACGGGAGTGGTTTTTCTCACTTTTATTCTCGGCACTTTTTATCGTAGCGCTTCGCTATATCATCCTCAAAGAAGGGCGATCTTACACTTGAAGAATCAAAAGCGCAAAATAAAGGACAAGAACAAAGCCGACGACAGGTCGCCGTTTTTCGATTTCAGCACTCTGAAGAGCAAAACAGTCAGAATTCTCTTGGTATCCACCGGGATTTCAGCATTTGGGATCAATACGCCGATATTTTACCTGGTAACATTGCCCTTGCAATCATATGTGTTTCAAAGAAAAAAAAACTCTTGAATAAAGAATTTTTTTTCGCGCAGGCTCATCAAGCTGAAGAAGACGGTCTCAGCGAGGCGGTTGTCCTGCTGCAGGTTTATCTCGGATTGGCTTGGACTCTCGGTTGTGTAGCTTTCGGACTTCTGGTTGTTCATCGCAGCGTTGAATGTCGGATAGCTCGCCAATATCTCACGCAAGCGGCCGTCTTTGTGTGTGGAGTCTGCATTCTGGCTCTTACTGCCGTTCAAGGAAATTACCATGGCTACGTTATGTTTGCTTGGATTTATGGTAAAACGCCACTTTCACACAAATAATAAAATGAAATTGTAGCAGAGATTCCAGATTTGTCTGTTTTTTCTACACGCAGTAACAAAGTTTTATAAAAATTCGATAATTTAGCAAAAACTTCCGAAATCACAGTTGACAGAATGAAATGAGTGCATCCGTCTTTTTCTTTTTATTCTACGCAACAAAGAAGACCGTGTTATGAACAATAAAAAAAAAACATTAGTTTCCACAAACAATAAAAAAAAAACATTTCCTATAGGTATCTTCTGCGGCGGCTACCATTACAGTCTGAAGATGTATACGTACGAAAGAGTGAGAGCGCGTAACTTCGCTAGAACATGGGGTTTCGTTCAGTGTTCCCAAGCGATACCAATTGCGATCGGAGTACCAATATCGGGTAATGAAAAACAAAATTGACAATAAAATTGACGATTTATTTGCTCTGTAAAGAAGACCGTTTATCGTTTCATTCGAATACCGAAACATTTCTCTTGTAAACAAAAGTTTTCAAAGATGTTTTCTTGTTTTTATATTTTGAGTTCTTTTCTGAAGTATTTTATATATTTTAAACGATTCCTTTTTTTTGTAAAATGTGTAAATTGTATCTCTAGGTTATATAAACGTAGGCTGCGGTAATAAGGCCGGATACTACTTCAGTTCAACATGCGTCCTGGTGGGTAGTTTCACTCTCTTCTTTATTGATTTGCATAGAAGAAACTTATCTAGACACAAACACACCAAACCCAACGGCATGAAGCACATATGCGCTTCGAATAACTGTCCTCAACGACGAAGACCGTCGTTCAGTCAAGAACCTGAAAACGAACCTCATGTGGCAGCTGCCGGTGCAACGGCTGCGGCGCTAGACTTGGGAACCGACATTGTTCCAACGCAAGGTAGATTTTTTCTTTTATCTTGTTTCTAATTTTCTTAATCTTACAAAAAAAAACAAAAAACGGTATGTGGAAAAAATTTTTTTCTCTTAGGCGAAGGAGTGGAAAACTTGGGAACGGACAAACCGGAGCTCACGTGTATCTCGGAAGAGGGTATCGCCGACATGGATTTACCCGACAACGTGTTGGAAGATCTCGATTATATAGGCGATTGCATAACTTCATGCAACAAAGTCGAGAACTATCTTATGTTGTCGGAGTTCGAGAATAACTTGATCGCCGAGATGCCAATCATTATGGATCGTCGTGGACGCAGGTGGTCTTTGGCGCGATCTAAAACCGGTCAATCTAACTGCGGTCAGGCTAGCGGCGTGCAATTGTCGACTGAGGAGGAAGAGAGCAAGTCGAAGTGGCGTTTCACGAATGTATCGCCTCATGCTAACAGCAGAATGATTACCGTTATCGACGAAGCCAGCGCGTAACTCGGAAAGTGTCATTAATCTCAAGCTTGACAAAATTGAAAGAGTAAATCTATAAAAAAACTTAAAAAGAGATGATGGATTAAAAAATCTAATTTCTAGCGCGTTACAGTTATAAATATATATCATTTAAAATATTTAGTTACAAAGTCTACAATTTTTTTCATAAAAAGAAATAAAATACAAAAATTAAGTTTTTTAAATCGAAGTTTGTAATAATCTTTATTGTGACTTTTATTAGAAAGAAAAAATTTGCAGAAATTATTTAAAAAATTCAAGGTTACTCCACGGCCATTAATCTACTATCTATTTAATTGTTTTATACTTACCTGTGTGTGTTTGTTCCTTCGTTATCTATTTTAAATACACAAGAATAATTGTGTTAGTTATAAACAGCAGATAGTGCACGTTTTTAAACGATATTTATATATTCACACATCAATGATTCGCGATGCAATTATAAAGACAATAATGTCGGCTCTTTCGATGAGAGAAATCACGGAAACGCTCCGTCCATGCAAAAACCACCATCAACTTACGTTAGCGTATTTCTTTAAATTCTCCGGTTACTTATGCTTGTTCACAATAATAATACTACAAAAATAAAATAAAATAAAATAAACCACACACCTATCGTTATTTTGATGTATCAGCTTTAAAGTAAAACTTGAAACACTCCAAAATTATCGAAAATCTATTGATTACATGAAGGAAAAGGAAAACTCAGATACAAATGTTGCACTTTACGATTATATTATATTACTACAATCGTAGTGATTTGCTTGTAATTGTTGTTATTTCCGAGAAATTAATTCAGATCAATTTAACTTACCGATGTACGCATTTATTGAAGGAATTTATTGAAAAAAAAGAAAAAAGATTATAAATATTTACATTTTATTGAGAATTATACATGCGATGTTATTCTGATTTTAAAAATATTACTTTCTCCTAAGTGTTTAAAATGTCAAAATATATTTCTTCCTTCCGATTGTAAATAAAATTTTTAATCGTGCAAATATATGAAAGGTACGTAGATACGCTAGCTTAAGATTTAAAAACTAGTCCGATTGCGTTTTACAAACGTGAAAATATGAATGTAACATTGCATACGTGCATATATATGTTATATGTGACAATTTTTGAGATTCGATCAAAAGTATAGTAAAAGTACGACGATCGACATTAAGTAATAACACATGTACGTTATATATTTATTTATGTTAGAATGTAAATATTCAACTTTAAAGCCGGATTTGTGTATATACTTACGTTATTATAAATACGTTATAAGTACACAATGAAGGAAATAGATTAGAACGTCCACAACACAACCGTATGTAAATTAGATTAATTCAAGTACATTGTTCATTGAAACTGATGTTACAACATCTTTGTTAAACACACAAAATGTTAAATTAAATGATAAATTAAGCATTCAAAGATAAATTTCGTATATATATTCGAATGATTAGATTGAAAAATAATTATTCAAGCAATAATAATAATCGACATTCAAAATATACGCTTTTGTGTAAAATATATATTCTCTTATAATCATCTATATAATTATTCGTACAAAATAGAAATCAACAACACGCTGTATTAATAATTGCCATTTAAAAGAAAAAAATGTTTTTATTACAAGACAGATCTTATTACTGCCGTTAATTAACTCTAAATTACTGCCATTAATTAACATATTTTAAAAATATCCAAGAAGCGCAAATTATAATATTGACTGTAACGTTGAAAGTAAGAGTGATCTGTTTGATTTCTGAAATCAATGTGTGTATAAACTATCAAATTGTCAACTTAATATATTACAATTTTCCAAAATTTCCTAATGTGTGTAAAAAAAATGTGTTAATAATAATATTATCTGAAAGATCTGAAACAATAATCATTATTATATTTCTTTATAGTAAAATGTTTCTGCTGAATGTATGTACTCTGTGTAACAAAAATAACAACTGCCGAACAACAAGTGCTGAACACAATTGTAATGTTCGCAGTGTTGTTGATATAAAAATATGATTCAATATAACTTTTGTGAGTGTTATTTTCTTCAATATTCCCTTGGAAATTGTTTTTTTTTTAATAATTTTAAATAAAAAATCTCTGTTAAAAGTTCTATCTGCACGGAATGGCTTGCGGTGCGTACAATAGATACACTCTGCAATTGGTAAATTAGAAACAGCACGACTAAATGACCTATTACCATTAAAAAAAAAAAAACTAAATTAAATAAAAAGAGATTGAACCGCGTACATATTAAGTATCACAGCAGCATTAAAAACTAAAAAAATCTTTGGCTAAACTAAATGTCTTTTAGTTACCTCATAGATTAGATAACATTAATTATAAAATGACATTTTAGATAAGACATAAGGAACATTTTTCAATCATTCTTTTGTCCACTATATGCTACAACCAAAAGATGTCTGTACAAAAAAATGTTTTGTCATTTTTTAATCACTTTTTAGATACCTATGTGATGTCTGGGACATTAATTACCGTGTAATTGTGTGCGTGGCGATTGGTACGATGCGCGCGCGTTACATAGAAGGTAGCACAACGGTGAACAGTCGCTTGAAGACGCTTCATGATTAAATGCCCTCGTGGCACGAGTTGTGTGACGATACATATACATATTCTTACGAGAAAAAGTCTGGTGTTTAAGGTAAGTATGTTCTCTGTACACACACACACACACACACACAAAACGGCAAAAGAGATTTTATTTTATTCACGTCTCCCTCAAAAGTTATACTAGAACATTTTTGTCGAATATAATTAGGATAATATTTTTTCCTGTTATCCGTTAGTTATTGCGGGCATTTATAAATCATGCAGACTCCTATCTCTCTGTAATCTTTCGGGCCATCTTTTACACTTTTTGAATTCTTTATGAACTTAGTAGACTGTGTCATTTCGACCCTTCCTTCAATCCACTCGTGTCTCTTTATTGCTCTCTCGCCATGTAGCCCATCGATCACTTCTATTATTTTACCTGTCAAATCTTGATCTAAATGAAAACTGAATGTTTGCACACAAATACAAAACGCACGATAACAACATGAAATAGAAATGATCGTAACTTACAGCTCTTGAGGATCAACGGAACAGGGATGGCGTACGGCAAACTGCATGTACTGCCGTTAAGTATATTCATTCTGATTCCCGTGACATTTGTGATTACGTAAGTTCGCAATTTTCGAATAACAATAAACGACAGATTCAACCAACAACGCAAAGCTACTTAAAAAAAGCACACAATGCAAGACAGCTATATTTTCTAGTGTAAACGTATAAAGTGTGATTTTTAGTATCTAGAACACTTTTTATAAATTCAATCGCTTTAACATCTCAATTGTAGCTTTTAAATCGTGATCGTTATAATTGTCGCGCGTACTCGCAGCAAAGTTTTTATTAAATTTATAGTTTCCTATTACTTTTCTCTTTCTTTCTCTCAAAAAGATTGCTAAACGTGAAAAATTACATATACAGTACTCGCACATGCTCACAATGTTCTTTCGAGCATTATTTTAAACAAATATATGTGATATAATTATTAGTTGCATAGCCAACGGCGACGATCTAATTGTAAAAAGAACCTCGCGAGCGAAAGTCGAGGAAATCTGATGCGAGCGTTTTATATATTCACTCGCGCTATTTGAGTTTATAGTTGATAAGCGGCTCATGTTGCAGATACACCATATCGGTACAATGGGACCACGTGGTGCCTGGCTTTCCTTATATATCGGAGACTGGCACGTTGTCACCGGAATCTTGCATATTTGCACAGTGTCTGAACATCGCGGCCCTTTTACGTATGTGCAAGTTACTTGAAAAAAAAAGTAATTAAACTGCAAAAAAAAAAAAAAAAAAAGAAAACAGTAAAAATCATCTTTCAGTTGGTTGCTGCGTCTACATCAGACATCGACAGGTGCTGCAATGGCAGATAGAGAGGGGTCATGATCTTGTGGACAGAAGAATCGTCGTGACAACCGCGTGTTGCGGCAGTCTCGCTTGTTTCGGTCTCGACATACTCGCTAATTTTCAAGAAGCGCATGTGGTCGCCGCTCACATGGTGGGAGCGATGACTTGCTTCTCCGCTGGCACAATTTATTTTTGTCTTCAGGTAAAACGTAATAGAATTTTATCGCGAATTTTATACTTTCGCAAGATACCGAGACATATACTTGTGTAGAATAATTATAAATTCTTCTAGACTTATCTGAGCTACAAAATGATACCGGCGGTAAACGGCACGATTGTCGTTTATGTGCGTGCGATATTTTCGGCGCTCACGCTGATACTGACGATTGCTACAATCGTTCTCGGTTACATTTCAATGTCCGAATTTCAGGGTAAAGTTACAAAATTTCATAAGAAATATATATAAGAATAATTATAGAAGAAACATATATAAATATAACTTATATATATAAATATTTATGAATAAGAATAATATTAAATCTTTGTTTTTCTAACAGGTGACGATTACAAAAAATGGATGCCGGACGACGGTGGTTGGGGTTGGCATGTAGCGAGTACTGTATGCGAGTGGATTCTCGCGATTGTCTATTGTGCGTTTCTTGTTACTTTTGTTCCGGAATTCCGATTAATTAACTTTGAAGATCCTGTGGTTACGGTACTTTGATTAGCTACTGTTACTCATAAAGTAGCGATCGTTTTATGTGAGAATTGATGCTTCATAGAACAACCGCTCTTTAAATGATATTATTACGTGTTTTCCTGAAGCTCATTTACTTTTAATATATTTTTAACGCTACTGCTCTACCTGACTTTATTACACGTTATAATTAACTGTAATAAATATAATATTGTTTTTTCTTTCAGTTAATGTATTTAGACAAAATCGAGAGCACGGCAACTTTACGAAAACCGGAAGCAATTATACCACAAGATACGTAAATGTTTTTTATCATACTTTCTCGCTATACTCATTTTTTGTAATTATATATATAGTTCACAATATTCTTTATTTTATATATCTTATATCCACTTGTGTGTGAAGGACAATTAACGCACAATTTTTAAAGTAATTTGTACCATTTTGATTTATTGTGGTTATTTAATTAAAATGTGTAAATAATATTCCAGTGTCAAGGTTGAAATCAGATATCACTTCCATCGTTGTTCTATCTAGCACCAGATGTCGATCTATCGCTAATTGTAAGATCGATAAGACAAGAGATAATATGCATTTTTAAAACTTTAAAATTTTATTCAAATGTTCTCTCCTTGTTTCTCAAATTAATGTATACATATTTTATGGTTTGATAAACAATTTGTTAATTTTCATAAATTAAACAATTGACATAAAAGCAACAGATAGTAATGTATGTTATCACGCGATAACATTCTTATTGTGTAAATTAAGAGATCGTATCTATCGAGTGAAAGTAAATTACCGACAAAATATGTTGCAATTTAATCAAAATATTGCAAATTTTACAAATTTATTATTGAGATGTCTCACAAAAAAGAAAGGAGAGAAAAATATGTAAACACACTATTTTACTTTTATATTTCGATAAGTATTAATTTAAAGTCGAGGAATAAAACAAAAACAAAAGAGATCGAATAACATAATTTTTTACATCTGATTAACTTTTATATATATAAAAGATGATCAGATATATACATATGTGTATGCGTATAAATGTACACATACCGTACATGTAAGTAGATATACTCTACATATATATATTATGTTTACTTATATATTATAAATATTTAAAATACATCATAAATGTTTAAAAATAATTTATTTATGCAAAACTTTGTTTAGAGATGATTATAAATACTAAAAACATATTGAACAATTTTTATTTGGATATAAACGGAATTTGCACATTGACAAAGTTAGAAGACTCGACGTTTCTTGTTATAATAATCAGTTCTGTCCACGTCATATATCATTATTATCCTCTCTTTGAGGTTTTTCCGCGTATTATAATCACAATAGCAGATGACAATTATAGCAGTTGAGAGAGACCACTCTCTCATTGTGCAATAGGATAAATAGTGTTTGGCGAACGTACTAGCTAGACAGTAACGTTGCTGACGGCAACGACGACGACGGTGACGGCGACTCGGCGCAGCTGCTGAGAGCGTCGGTTTCGCTGACGCAACATCGATCGCGCACCTCTATCAGAGGCCATAACCTCCTCTGCATTTCCCGACCAGTTCTATCGCAACTCCGCAGTTTTTTCCTCTGAAAAATTCGAGCAAAACCATTTAACCCGTCTACAATTCAATTTTTCCATTTCAAATGAATTATTTCGATCGCAAGTGATTCTGAGTTTCGATTTGCGCTCTAAAGTGAAGACAACGAAGAAGCTTTCGATAATCTAATCAACATTACAAAAGTGCAAACGAAGGAGGAACCACCGTTTTCAGGGTGGAAACTTCACGTGTCGCCGCCGATACGTCGTCGAGAGTGTCACGCAATAATTTAGGTAAATTTAAATTTTTCTATATAAAAACAGAGAGTACTATAGTGAAAAGTATAATTAGCAAAACAACTTCTATCTTTGTAAGACATTATATGTAATGTCACCTATTGTAAAAGTAAATAGGAGTATATATATATGTACATATATATGTGTATATATATATATATATACATATATATGTTTTAGTATTAACTCTACATTACAGACATAATCAAAATGTCATTCAGTTTTTATTCTTAGAATGTGAGATGAGACGAAAGATACGAAAAACTTATATATTCGAAAATGTTTAATTTATCATATCCGCTTCCGCTATCGTTTTTACAAGACTGCTGCGCACGCTTTACTCTTTTACGCAGACAACGCCCGTGTAATATATTCAAAAGGCGTTATATGTCCATGAACTCTATTATGCGATATTATTTACATACAAACACATAATGCAATTTTTGCAACATATATATATATATATATATATATATATATATTGTATATATCTGACGGAGTCTGCTATATATGAATATCTGTATGTGTACATGCGCGCGCGTGCGCGCGCACACGCGCACACACACACACACATCTGACGCATTAAATTATATTATTTTTAACTTTATTTGAAATGTTTATTAATATCTGCAATTTATAAGTTGTCAAACTTGTTAAAAATACTTGTTATGTTCACTTTACAAAATAATTTCTATTTTAAAAAATTTCTATTTTGCTATTTTTTTATACACACATCAATACATTTTTTATCGTTTTAAATAAGTCTTTTTATACTTTTACTTACTGAATACTTACAATTATATATATTTGATATTGATTATATTCCATGGTTACTTACTGCATATCTCACGTATCTATTTTCACAGCAATGATTGTTAATAATTAAATTAAATAATAATAATAAATTTATTAAATAATAATAAATTAAATAATTAAATTAAATAATGAAATAAACAAATGTTAGTTTATAAATATTTATAATAGCAAGAAAATATGTATTATTTAATTATTAGCAAATATTTACTGTTTATTAGTACACACAAATAAATATTTACTAAGATAAAACCATAAAAATTTATATATAATTTATCTTATTTATTTGTATTTATTTGTCTAGAAAGTTTAATTAAATTAAAGTTTTTAATTACAAAAATACGAAAACTACGGATTTTTTGTAACTTTTGTAATAATGATCTACATTTCTGTTATAATTATTTTATATATAAGTGGTTTGATAAAAATAACTTGTAATCGTATATTGTGATCAAAACAGCACGATTTATCACATTTATAAAATTAATTGTATAGTGTGTACATGAGATATATAGTGATCGCATGCAGTATGAAAGCAATGACAATTATTTTATTGCAGATCTCAGAGAGACATTAATGGCAGTCGCGGTACTGCTGTATAGTCGTCATAGAGGTCAATATTTAACAAGAAGAGGATTGAGAGACCTATAAAGGAGCATGAATGATCGTGAATCGTCGGCGGCTGCATCGACGCGAGAATCTTCCCGATAGCTGCGTCGATCGCAGGCGTCGGCGACTGACGTCATTATCATTGGCTCTATTACTGACAACGATAATTACATCGAAATTATGGAGAAACAAGAATTTTATGCAAATCTACATTATTTACCAATTGCAGTCTTTGTTTCTCTACCTACGGTTTTCATTTTAACGTATGTTTAATCACGTTGTAAAATTGGAGCAGATGCAAGCAAAAACATAAAATTTGCGTAATTCTTTGTTGAATACCAAAAATTGTAATTTCTTTGATATTCAATAAAGAATCACGCACACGAACATTTTGTGTTTTTGCTCGCATCTGGCCAAATATTCTATTTTAACATCTCGCTTATTTAATTGTTACGTTGTAAAATTGATTAAGTTATGTTAAATTAAAATTCTTGTTTTCAGTTTGCTAATAAAATATTAATAATAATTAAAGATGTATGAAACACACTATTTTGCTATTGGCAGGTATGTAATCGCTGTTTTATTAGGACACGTAGAAGCTGGTTTTCCCTATATCTCTGACGCAGCAACTTATGCACCAGAAAGCTGCATTTTTTCTCAAGCTGTCAATTTGATCGCTATTCTCAGTAAGTACATACATCGCGAGTAATTTATAAGAATATATTACCCCAAAATTATATATTTTTAAAATAATGTGAACACGACTTTCCCTAATATTCCCATGAAACATTTAAGGCATCGATTCGTAATAAACTCGACGTATCGTAATAAACTTTGTCAAGAAAAACCAGAAAGCTTTGATATTCAAGTATACGAAGAGATAACACGATAACAGAAATTAAAAATGACGTGAATCATGATGAGGAAAAAAAATTTATTAAAAAGTATTCTATAAATAAATGTTACGTATTGCGTTCGCAAATTGATTGAACCCATATTATTTATGTTGCAGTGAGCTTTATGATCTACGTCAGATATTTCCAAGTTAAAGAGTGCACCAACGTTTACAATTCACCGGCTTCTTTACCGAAGTGGAATCGCTGGGCCTTAATTTTCGGTCTCATATCGACCGCCGGTCTATCAATCGTTGCGAATTTTCAAGAAACCTCAGTAATTGTAGTCCATCTTATTGGCGCGGTGCTTTGTTTTGGAGGCGGTACCGCTTATTTTTGGACTCAGGTGTGTACCAAACTTTGAATATGTAAATAAGTAAAATAAGTCCTCTCAAAAACTTGTAAAGTAAGTCATAATTACTTTTTCAAAAAATATTGTAACAGAGTTATATATTACGTAAAATATAAACATCTCTTTTTATCTTAATGTAGTCATAATATAAAGTTTTTATTACAGGCCATATGTTCGTTTTACTTGCATCCGATTGGATGCTCGTTACGACTTGCACATCTTCGCACGGCACTATCAACTTTCTGTACGGTGTGCTTCTTTGTGATCCTCATTACGGGCGTGCTAGCTCATCTGGCCTATAAGGGTTGGTTCGTTGAATTTTATCCACCGTATGCATTGAATATTTTAGTTTATTAATATTTAAACCACATCTTCTGTAGGAACAAACCCCCGGAAGTGGTACAAGGAGGATGGCGGCTGGGAATTGCACGTGGCTAGCACGATAACCGAATGGCTTTGCGCGATGGCGTTCTGTGCATATATCTTGACGTTCACAGAGGAATTCAGAGACATCAGGATAAGTCCGCCGAAGGTAACATTTCTCGTATACATACATTTTTAATGCGGTATGTCGGAAAGTAAGATATTTTAGCTCAAAGGATTATATTCACGTACATATCTTCAAAGTTTTCTTTTCATAAACAGGTAATATGCAACATGCATCGTTTGAGATCGAGCAACGAAGCGCTGAACGAGAGTCAAGCCTCCACTGTGGTTCACGATCCAGCAAATCCATCGACTAGCACTTGATCACTCATAGGCAGAGGCTTCGGTGGTTACGTCAATCTTCTCTCGCACTCGCCGGTCAACACACCCTGTCCTGGCTACCGATACCGCGAATCCAGAGATAACCTACCGGACGAGACAACGCCGCTGGTGTTGCGCGATAATACCGAGAGGAGTCCCGATGTCTTCTGCCCAGTTCAAATACACGTACACGATCCCACAATACGCGAACGACGGCGGCGTCCCAAGATCTACCGTCCTAAAAACCAACATCAAAGAGTTCGCAAAGATAGTTCCAAGTGGATTGATCTCGACGAAAATGTGATGGACGGTGACGGTTACATTCTGATTGATGATAGAAATCTCGGACCTTCAGTTCCCGAGATCGACAGTGGAGAGCTACCATATCCCGATGTTGAGTACGAAGATAATGACGACGACGGCGATAATGACTACAACGACGACAATAACGACGACGACGACGACGACGACAATGATGACGATGATAACGACGACAACAATGACGACGATGAAGACGGAGACACGGGCAGTCACAGCAGACGTGAATGGTCAATATACAAGCAGTTGAAAAAAAAGTTGTCAAAACGTTGCCGGTCCGATTTCGACTTTGGCGCGACTTATCCGATCGCGAATAGTCACGGAAATGCTTATCAGGATTCGAGCAGCCACAGCAAGTACACGGAATTATATTCGGAATTTCGAAATGTCACAAATAACTTCGACGTGACTCACACTCTCGATGTCACACCGTACGCGATAGCGAACAGTCACGGCGAGCATGGTAATCTCGCGACGGAAATCCGTGATGGTTATTATAGGGAAAGCGACAACTTAGTCTGGAACACTAGGCCGGCGGATACGAATTACGAAATAGCTAACAGCCACAGCAACTACCGCGTGTTTTATGACAGTCAGACGCAACATCAGGCAATGATGCCGCCCTGGTCGTCGGAACCGTGGTCGTCGGAAAATTACCGTGGAGATTCTTGCGTTGCTGCAGAAAATCCTAGAGACAACACCGACAGAAAGCGAGATAACGAAGAAAGTGAGGCGGACACGAATCTCTCGGAGAAAAAGGACGAGCAAGATTCTGAAACAACCTGCGACATTGAGCAATGCCTGGTGCAAATCGAGGAAAGCCTCTTAAATATCGAGCAGAATCTTCTCCATGTTCAGGACCTGGACATACCGGAGCTGAGAAATCTGCTTTACAAGAGCCCGAGTATCGAGCGAAGTCTGTACGAAGTGCAAGATCTTCTCTACTCCGACGGCATTGGTTCGACGGTAATCGCCAAAAACAAATCTATGTCTCTCGATTCTGACGAAGAAGAAGAGGAGGAGGAGGAAGAAGTAGAAGAGGAAGAAGTATGGGTGGGACAAAATATAACAAGCGAAGATACCAATGACGAGAACGTGGACGCGGGCGCGCCTCCTCTTTTCGTTGATTCGAATGAAGAATCTTCGGACACAGCCAACGTTGACGAATATAATCCTACAAAATTGAATGACCATTACACCGACCATTGGATCAACCAAACAAACGTCCCGATGGAAGAAAGAGCTTTTACTTTTAATGTAGATTCGGAAAAAGCGATGAACTTCGTGCCTAACAGTCTTAGCAAAACTTTACCCAGAAAGATTATATTGGACGAAGTAAAAGAAAACATCAGACTGTGCTCATCGGAACCGGAAGATTCCAGAATTACGATCGATTACAATCTTAACAGTATGTGCGCCGAAAAAAAGTCTTTTTTTCGCGACAAATGGCACAGCAGAACGAACTCGTTGGACGAAAACTCGATCTTTCAAAACTCGGAATTCGGCGACAAGCAAGAGAACAGCAAGTTTTCGTTACAAGACATTTTTCTCGAATCTACCGGAAGTCGACACTTCGCGGTCAATGCAAAAGCGCGATCAGAAGGAACTTTGCAGACCAATCAGAGCAAACAGATATACAGAAGAGGATCTCATGAGGAAAAGCTTCTGCAAGCCGTTGAAGCAACTGCGGAAGACTTTCGGAAGAAACTCGAAAGTTTCGCGTTGCAGCGACAATCTATTTTAGTTGACAGTCAGAAAAGAATGGCGTCCAAGTCAACGAGAAATGTCTCGGACAATGCGGCGCCGCGATCGAAAGAAAAGTCGCCCGGGAAGTCAAAGCGCACGACCACGACAACCTCTAAGATGCAGGACAGAGAAAATAGTGCTGGTAAAACCACCGACAAACGTAAGAGAAAAAAAACATCAGCGAAGAATCAAAGTGCCTCGGAGAACGCTTTGATTCCGAGTAAACTGATCTCGCTCTCGTTATCGCTGCTTCTTGCGGCTCTTCTGCAAGCAGTCAGATGTTTGACGGATCTCGTTGAAGATGCCTTCAGATCGGTCAGTTACGATCGAAATGGATTGCTACAATAAACTATGGAAATTGTTTCTAACAAAGTTACTCAAGTGCTGACTAACCTTCTTGATAAATGTGTAATGGATATACATAATAGGTATGTAATAAACAATCGATCTCTCACATCGACGATCAATTCGTGTAATTGTTCGAGACTTATACCCGATATCTGTGATAAACATTATTCTTAGAGTTCTCAACAAAACTGCTTCCAAAAATAAGTGAGATTGAGAAATCGACTTTCCACACTTGGACAAGAATCGAGATCGATTCTAAAAGATTCATTAAGACTACGTGCTGTGAATATCATTCCTGATAAAGTGAATAAAAATTTCGATGATCTCAGATCGACGAAATTTTAGAAAAATGTGAAAACAAACGTGAAGTTAATTTTGTGTGCAAATGTATGCGTTAATTAATTGTGGAAGACACAACGAAGCGTAATGCAATAAACACGCATGATGAAGCGATGAATACAATAGTATAATGATAGTGCGCGATATATATATTCAAAGAATTCTTACTCAATGCTAAATAACGGGCTAAGCGTAAACGTTTTAAGATTACGGTATATTATTATAATTCAAAAGTGCCTAAAAAAAAAATAAAAACCCCATCGCGTATCATGTACGAGATGCAGTATAAACAATACACTATTAATGCTATTTATGTCTACTTACATAAACTCATTTTTTCAAAATGTAAGAGCATTGAGAGAAAATAAAGCGAAAGCGAAGTCACAAAAGCGAGTTGCTTGAAGCGTAAAAGCATTCTCACGAATAAATTGCTCTTTCCTGTTCCATCAGTCCTTTTTTTGCGATTCAAAGAACATAAATCTGGAAATGCTAATATTATGATTGCTCGAGAATTTTGAGAAAGAGAGAGAGAGAGATTGATTGATTGATTTTATTTGTATCGCGCTCTGAGAGAGAGAGAGAGAGAGAGAGAGAGAGCTCTCGTCAAGAACACAATCAAACCCATAGAATTTCATTATCGTGATAAATCATTTATCGTTTATCAAATATATTGAAAGAAACTGAAACCATCCCTCAAAACATTTTATATTTTTATATATCACAGAGAAAGTCAGTCAAAAGTTTTGTCGGTCGCAAAACATCAACTTATTCTATATAGCTTGAATATACCGTGATTAAATATAAACAAAGCGAATATAAACTAATATATAATTAGCTATTTTTAGCTATGTATAACCACGAAAAGAAACATTTTCTTATACAAGTGTTTTCTAAATTCAAGAAATATTTTTTTTTTTTTTTTTTTTAGTAAAACCGATTAAAAAATAAAACAATAACAAATATTTTATTCGTATTACATGAAGTTTTTATTATCTACATTGTAATATTGCTCTACGAATTTATTTTCAGCAATTTATATTCTACTCGCTCCATCGATCCTTCACTGTCTGATTATAAATCAGTACAAGATGATTTATACTGTATGTATATTTTGTGCGCAAAATAGTACACGACGAGCAGACGTGCAATTCGGATCGATGTTTCGTGCTTATCGCACGTCGACTGGAGGTTGAAAGAGCGAATAGTAACGCGACACTAAGCTGCTTCGAAATGTCTCTTTCCTCAATTTTGCATTTCTCGTCTTACAATCAGTCGAACAGTCTCAAGTTTACAAGTCAGAGGAATCGAAACTTAACTCTGAAGCTAGTTATTTTCGGACTTTGTCCGTGTTAATATGAATCGACGTTCTGTTGTTAAAACAAAAAATCATATACATTAGTTAAGTAATTACACGCATTTTTCTCCTCTTCTATGCAAAGTAACATACAATTTTCCAAAACGAAATAAAACTTAAAAAATTATTTACGTTCATAAAGTTTTTTCTTATCACATTTACAGTGATATTAAACACTATAATAAAACCACGCAATTAAGTAAATTTATAATACTTTTTAAGAGAGTCACAGAAAAACGAAATTATTATTATATTATAATTTTTTTTACTGCTCTACACATGTAATAAACGTAAAAATAGATAGTACAATTCGGTAAGTTTACTTTCAAGCGCATCAATTGTTTAAGATTGACGTTGCTCGCATTCTCTTCTATAAACAAGAGACTGTTCGTCCATTTAGCCAACATAAAAATCTCATTACAAAGAGCTGAAATATTGCAAGAGCGAATTTTTCGAGACTTAATGGTGAAATATATTTTTCTTGCAGAAGAAAATCGAAATCGAACGATCCGGCTAAACCGTGCCCATCTCTCGAAAAAAGCGCTCTCGAATCTTCTCAAGAAAGATTCGAATTTCGCGAACATCCTTCATACGGCGCTTTTCTCGGAATGTCCTCCCTTTAGAGAATATGGCATCATTCCTTTTAGATACCAACCACCACACGTTTTATGCAAATGGGCGGTATAAGGGATCCTTGCATCCATTACGGGATGCAAAACACGTTCTTGCTACGTTAACGCGCCTCAGAATGCATTTCAATCTCTTCGTATTTGTAGCTGACATACATCGTGTGTCGTTATATTTATACATTCCTGTCTCAATAAAGAGAATTCTAGTCAAGCATTTCACAGCCGCGTTTACACAAATATCTTATTGTCACGATCAAAAAATGCAAGTATAAAGCTTCATATAAATTTTAAAAACCGATTTCTCTACGTATAAGATGTAAAATAAAATAACTCACAATCAGAAACAGAGTATTAGTACACAATAATTTTACTTTTTAGTACAACATAGGAGTATTCTACAAAATAATTATTTACAAATAGTTTGACTCTTACGTAAAAAAAATCTTTACTACATAAGTGTTTTAGTTCTGAAGTTTCTCTTCATGGTCTAAACAATCCTTTGACAAACGCATGCAGAACGCGATATTGTTCGTCTCGTTTTTTGCTATGTTACAGTATAACACAAGAGAATAAATAATGACAACACGCCACTTTGCGGTCCTATAAAGCGGCACATGCATCAAGCAGAATATATAATGAATAAAATATATAATATATATATATAACAAAATAAAAATATAACTGAGTTACTTATAATGTGAGATTTTTTTATAGAACTCATTTTACTTTAATTTAATTTAATTATTAATAAATGGAGACGTTCCGAGTCTCTTCTCTTGCGGTAAATTAAACATTTATATTGAATATATAAAAAAACAATGACAATAATTTATCATAAGTTAAATAAGCAATTAAATTCAATTGTTGAAAGATCGTGACAAGCACTGTGAAGAAAATTGAAATTTTCTACATTGCTGCATAAATCAATTCATCGTCGCGAAAATCGTCTCTGAATTTTAATTACGATATGAATTTTCAAGAGCGAACACACAAGAGAATGTGTGTGTGTGTGCGCGCGCGCATGAAAAAGAGAGAAAGGACGCAGAAAAAAAGATATGCAGCATGATTGCAATAAATATTCGACAAGTGTATAATCTCATTTCTAGCCGTCAACATTCAATCGCGCTAAAAATTATTTGCTGGTGAATCTCTGAAACTTTTTCCAATTATCGCAAGCGTGACGAATTAGGCCGTCGCATCAACATGACAGTGTGATACGTACATTACTCTTGGGATACACTTGGCACACTCATGCATATTATACCGACTACTATAACGATAATGAATATGTTCCTGTATATATGTGGGTGTGCATATGGCGTTCTTGCAAAGGACAAACTTCATTTATAGTAATATGTTGTCCTACAGTTATGCCTTGTTCAACCGAACCATTTCAAAATCCGTTTTAATTAAATCGCATAACAACTTCAGACTGCAAACAGTCAAACAAATAAAATTACTATTTATCTTTGATTGTTATTTAAAAAAAATAAATAGATATTAAAATGGATTTTAATTAGATTTTTGATGCGACAAACTTGTCATCTCCGCGAAATTTAATTACTTTTTTATTTTTAAATCACAATGCTGCTTTTATACACTTTTCGGTACGAATTTGTATAGTTTACTTGTAAAAGTAATTCTATATTTTTATTAAGCATGTTTACCTATCTCATTTGTGAGAAATCTTTTTGAAATAATAAATTATTTTATTTATTTTCGCGGATTATTATTCGTAACAAAATGAGGTCATTATAAAAAATATTTAGCTAGTAAAAGGTCAACTTGTTTTAGAAATTCAGTTTCAATATTAATACACTTTGAGTATTCGACGTCAAAGATCTGATTTTTACTTCTTATTTGAGAGAAAGAAAGAGAAAAAAAAAAGTTAAAGTGTTTATGTATTACGTATATATATATATATATATATATATATATATATTGATAAATTCAGTTTCAATATTAATACACTTTGAGTATTCGACGTCAAAGATCTGATTTTTACTTCTTATTTGAGAGAAAGAAAGAGAAAAAAAAAAGTTAAAGTGTTTATGTATTACGTATATATATATATATATATATATATATATATATATATTTTGATAACCGCCTACATTATACCAAAGTACAAACTGAGTTGTGGACGGTCGATCATTTCATCGCTACTCGTAGCTAAGTGTTTTTCAGAATGTACTTAAATTATTAACGTCATTTCTTTAGAAAACTTCCAGAAATAAAGCACATTCGCCATAAGACGCAGATAGAAAATCGATGAAATCTTAATGAAACTAAATAAATTATTATGGCCTAGTTATATGCGCGAATGCATATTTGCGTATATCAAGTTTGAATTAAATAAACTCTAAAAGAAATAAAATACTACAAATATAAATTATATTTTTAATATATTTTTAAAAAAATCAATATATTTGTGTCATATTATAAAAGTTTGAAACACATGTGTCATTTATAGACACGCGCACGCACACAAATATCTATATGTATATGCAACATACAAATATATCAGTGCATATTTATCTTTTAATATTATTAAATTTCATTTTAAATAAAATTTAATATTATTAAAATAAAATGTAATAATACTGCAAATGTTAAATGTATCGAATATTGTACATTGTTGCAGCGGTTTGCTCGATTGTCAAAAAGATATTTGAATCATACACGACCGTTGAAACACAGCAAAGCTTTTAGAAATTCATGAAATTCTTCTTCGTTATTCAGCGAATTCTGAATTTGTCGACACGTAGAAACAGGCCATACTTGCCGTTTGTACAAAGAAGAATAATGTGACTCGGGATGTGTACACGTTACGAAAAGAATCAGCTTCATACAATATGGTTCATCACAACTCGACAATGTGCAGCGGAAATGAAAAATATATAAAACTCAACAAAGCGCTCGAAATTGGAGATTTCTCGATCAATTTTGTTCGCATTACATCACGTTAACGCAACAAAGCGAAAATTTCATTCATTGTTACTAAATAAGTCAAATTTATCGACATTTGTGTAAAATTTAGAGGTATTTATCAGAGAGAAGGATACGAGATTCTTTTGACCAATTAAATAGAAATCCGAAACGCTGTGAATTACTCATTCGCAAGAATTACATGTTATCTTGCCGCATTAATATTCGAGAAGTCGCAAGTTTCTTCAAACTTCTCCTTGAAACTTTTTACTTTTGAATACGAAAAGCGCGAAACTTGTTTCTTGATGAATGTCCGTCGAGGTAGAAAGATCTCGCGATGGTTCAAAGAATGAGAGTTAGCGCACAAGTTCGATAATAAATCTTAAAGAAAGAGGTGTATCTCCATCAGGACATTAGGATGGATAAAACTGGAACGAAGGATGCCGGAAGCACGGGCTCGCTGATG